ATATGTATGGAATTAATGAGATGTAGGATGTGTAGGTATATATAGGGGATTAATGAGATGTAGGCTATGTAGTTATATGTGGGGGATTAATGAGATGTAGGCTGTGTAGGTATATGTGTGGAATTAATGAGATGTAGGGTGTGTAGGTATATTTTGGGGATTAATGAGATGTAGGCTGTGTAGGTATATGTATGGAATTAATGAGATGTAGGATGTGTAGGTATATGTAGGGGATTAATGAGATGTAGGCTATGTAGTTATATGTGGGGGATTAATGAGATGTAGGCTGTGAAGGCATATGTATGGAATTAATGAGATGTAGGATGTGTAGGTATATGTAGGGAACTAATGAGATGTAGGGTGTGTAGGTATATGTGGGGGATTAATGAGATGTAGGCTGTGAAGGTATATGTGGGGGATTGAAAGAGATGTAGGCTGTGTAGGTATACGTGGGGGATTGATGAGATGTGGGCTGCGTAGGTATATGTAGGGAATTAATTAATGAGATGTAGGCTGTTTAGGTATATGTTGGGGATTAATGAGATGTAGGCTGTTTAGGTATAAGTGAGGGCTTTAATGAGATGTAGGCTGTGTAGGTGTATGTGGGGGATTTAATGAGATGAAGGCTGTTTAGGTATATGTGGGGGATTAATGAGATGTGGGCTGTGTAGGTATATGTAGGGAATTAATAAGATGTAGGATGTGTAGGTATATGTAGGGGATTAATGAGATGAAGGCTGTGTAGGTATATGTTGGGGATTAATGAAATGAAGGCTATGTAGGTATATGTTGGGAGGAATAATGAAATGCAGACTGTAAGGAGATAGTGCAGAAATACTTAGGGGGGTGGTTGAGGGAGAATACTTGATTACATATTCAAGAGGTATTGTTTTAAGAGAGATGTGTATATTACGGTGGAGTTAACTAGCCGCCCAACCATCCAGGTGGTGTTGCACTTATAAAGCGAAAGAACAAAAGGCTTAGCTGTGAGCCAATGAAAAAGCACTGACGTCATAGGCAAACTGGACCAACGAGGTTCTGACACCGGCTGGATTTGATTATTCAAAATGGCGGACATACCTTAATTTAAGGCTAATATGCTAATTTGCCAAACATTCTTTATATGCACGCTTATGTTCTGTAACAGCTTTGTAGTTTATACTATACATGCAGTTATTTATAAAATACGCGTTCACCCTGTGTATCTTGAGTTATAGTAGCCAGATTAAGCCTTGACTGATGAGGTTCGTTTCAGGCTCCCTCTGCGAAAGGGTACTCCAAATTTGTCGACAACGTCTACAGTCTACAAATGCCTACGAGCGAAAAAACTTTCCGGTGCCTCGCCGCCTAACGCATCACAATTTTCAATGTTATTCCACCGGATATCATTGTCTCTGCAACAATTAGGGTTTGAGGTCCATTAAGTAGCGAGATCCCCGAGAACTGGAAGCTATGGAAAGAGAAATACCGCAATAATTACTTGGTTTGGAGCGGGAAAGCCCCGAGTATCAAGTCGCATGTTCAAGGACATTATTGATGACGATGGCCTTAAAGTGTTCAAAGTCTTAAGCTATACTGAAAAAGAAAATGCAAACGATTACCGTGTAGTAACGGGGAAGATGAAAAGGTATTGCATCGGCGAAGTAACGTAACCGAGATTGTTTCAGCAGGAGGGAAAAAGTTCCCACCGAAACGCTCGACAACTTTATCGCTGAATTAAAAAGAACCTTGGCAAAGAGCTGCAATTTATGTGATTTTTACGGTTTTTACACGATACTGTCATCTGCGTTCGATTGGTCTTGGGATAAAACATGAGCAAACCACAAAGTAGCCTCGTAAAACAAGTGTATCGACCTTCCAGTATCCGAGATGCAAATATAGCGATATCAACAATGACGACGGCGACGCCGAGGACAACGCCTTGTAAAATTAAATTGAATTTGTCCAGGATGGCTATGGCTCTAAAACCTCGCTCAGGCTAAAATATGTAATGACAGCGTTCAATTCTTAGCAGTTCGACTCATCGTTCGCTTTCGCGGTCATTTTGCGTTGTTGTATTGCAGAAGACGGCTAAGAAATGTACAAAGGTTTACTGAACACACTTGTACAGCCTTTGTTTTGCTCAATAAACTTTTTGTTTGGTGGTGTTCATTGACTTCGTGGTTTGCTCCAGACTCCGTCCACATTACGGCGGAGGACATGTACATCATAACGTACGTAGGTAGCACACGTATTGTGTATAGCTTTAATTTATTAATTCTTTTTTTATTTTCACCGAAAAAATTGAAGGGTCCAGAAGGGGGTCCAGAGGGAGGCCAGAAGGGGCCCAGAAGGGGGCCAGAAAGGGGGCCAAAAGGGGGGCGTAGAAGGGGGTTAAGAAGAGGGGGGTCCAGAAGGGTAGCCCAGTTTTTGTCTGCACCCGGCTTGAAGTCAAGGTTTTCCCAACTCTGGTTGGAGCAGAAAAACAGACACATCTCTTCCGGACAGATACACTTCCACTGTTGTGTGCTGGTAGTGACACAATATAGAATGCCCCGTGGCCTTTGAAGCCGTTGCGCTAAATACCGTAAATCCTCGAATTAGCGCCCGGGGCGCTTATTTTAAATTTAGGAGAAGACGGCGGGCGCTTAATCGAGAGGGGCGCTTATTTAATGTTTCCTAAATCGTGGCCGGACATGATCATTTTTCCAACACGTCATCTGCGCGTAAACAACAACATACCAGTGTTTTTATCGACGTAAAAAGCTGATCCTAAAGTTTAAATCGCGGCACCACAAGTACTTCACGTGTTCACAAACTGAAACAATGTACAAATCTAATACTACATGACGAAAACTATACATCTTTTGTTGTCTCATTACTTCTCCACAAAATGGGAGGAGGGGAGGGGGGCGCTTATTCAAGGGGGGACGCGCTTATTTTAAATTTCGGTCGATAGGAGGGGCTCTTATACGAGGGGGGACACTAATTCGAGGATTTACGGAAACCTGTGTTTGACAGTTCTGTCCCCGAGGGATATTCTTGGCAACTTTGATTGGTCGAAGCGTAGCGACCCGTCATTGGAGGTAATTAAGTACAAAAAATCCTTCGTCCGGGGAGTGATGAAAGCTAATGAATAAACCAGACGAAGGACTTTTCTGAAAGTCTAGTTTTTTTCCTGAACTGAAATATAATGTTAACTAAGAAATCAATTCTGTCCTAAAGAAAACTTCAGAGCCGCAGGCCGAGGGCCGCACTCCAGACCGGGGTCGCACACTTATTCCCAATGCGGAGAGACAAATGTTGTCAAATAACTTGTTTATTTATTTTTTTTCCAGTACGGTATTGCATATTTTTTTTTATATTCTTACGGCTCTATATTTCTTAATTTTTTGCTATTTTCATTTACTTTACTTGCGTTATTTAATATACCCAGTATAGTGTTAATAAAGAATTGAACTGAATCAGCTTTGAAAGGAACTTTTGTTGTTGTCGTGGTGAATTTTAATTAAAGCCGGTCACAAAAAGCGATACTGTTTGCTCAGAATCCGTGTTGAACGTTGCTTTACGTCATAAAAAAAAAGCTTGAAAAGTTGCCAAAGTTGGAAATTTGGGCTGTCCGTACTTGGGGTTCGGCTGGGAAAATCAGGACCGCTGGAGCGTGCGCGATTAGCCAATGAGGTTCAAGGATTAAGGATTCCGGACAACTGAGAAGCTGGAGAAAATATATATAAAAAAAGAAAAAAGAAATCGCGAAAATTGATTACAATCTCCCCTCTAGCTTTGTTTGTTTTGAATTCGTTTTGTTTGGATGTTTGATGCTTAATTAAAAACCAGTAAATGATGATCGATCCACGCAGCTATAGCTCGTTTCGAAAAGGTCAATTTCCGGTTACAATTTTCAAAACAACACACTATCTCCTGTCATATTTTTTTTCTGCTCAATACCCTAAAAGGTAGCGCCAAAGCTCCCGCTGTGGACCTTTTGAGGCTGAACACCCCGAGAGGTAACAAATCCGCGTTTTTAACCCCGAAAAGGTACGAAGAGCACCCCCGTCATTTTTGTACGGGAGGGCCCCCCCCCTCCTCGAGGATAAAATAGGGCAGAGAGTAAACAAGTTGACACATTTTTCGAAAAGCATTGTTTTAATTTTGCAACAATATAGTTGTAAAACTAAGAAAAAACCGTTCATATTTTACAATACAGTGACTGCTGCCTTAAACGTTCGGTGACAATTATCCTAATCATAATGGTACAGCAGTGAGAGAAAACTGCGTGGTTCCGAAATTTTTCCTTTCGGATAGTTTAATCCCACACGGTCTGCAGCCATACAGCTCCTCCAATGTTAAATTTCTTCTCTTCTACGGCTTTCATCATCCAGCGAGATCTCTGGGTCCCTTATAAATGGACAGACAGTATTGAAGTTAACTAAACCAATTTATGAATTGTGAAAAAATGTTGCCAGCCATCGCCTGTTAAATTTTAGCACTCAGCGTTTATAAAAGCAATAACATTTTAAACTAGAATAAAATTTAAGAAATAGAACACATGTATAGTCTTTCTATTGAGTTTTAGTATAAGTCTACTAGCGTTCTATTTCGAATGCTGTTCTCTGATTGGCTACGCTAGCCTCCTCACTGTCTGTTCTGTTGTAGCTAGTGAGTAGCGTAACAGTGTGCGCTTGTTAACAAAGTGACTGCCCCTTTTTTGTATTCTCGAGGTGTCTGTGAAGAGGATTTAGATAAAGTTTTGAACGACCAGCAGATTTATACTAAAACAATTAGATTATTCGCTCTCGATTTCTACGCGTGATAGTTGACTCGGGCTGCGCTAGAGAAATCACGAGCTTGCAATGTATTGTTAATAAATAGAAACACGATTTTTAACCAATCAGCGCTCGTATTTTCTTGTACTGTTGTCTACAAGGAAATAATCTCATGAATGACTTCAGAGGATTTTGCATTACTGTCCTAACTTTAGATACTAATTAACAAAACAACAAGTATTTCAACATGCAAAATTAACAAATTGACGTCAGTTTTTCACGCGTCTGTCCTATTATTGATCATGAATTTCGTCATAACATTGTCAAAGTAGCTGTGGATCCGCAAACTACTTTGACAATAAACGAACAATTATTCTTGTCACAAGGTCTGAAAAATCGTAAACGAAGCTTTCGACTGTATCGCACAGTCTTCACCCAGAAGAAGAAGAGAAGCGACTGGGTGAACATCAGAAACAAACAACATCTGCAATCCGGGAACACCAGTCTCAGGCCAACCACGAGATCGACTGGGAAGGAGTCAAGATTCTTGATAAAGAGTCGATAGATATCAAAAGGAAAATCAAGGAGGCCATCCATATCAGACGTCAACGCCCAACACTGAACAGAGACAG